GGGGGGGGGGGGGGGGGGGGGGGGGGGGGGGGGGGGGGGGGGGGGGGGGGGGGGGGGGGGGGGGGGGGGGGGGGGGGGGGGGGGGGGGGGGGGGGGGTCTCCCAGACGCCTTGCGCGACATGTTCGGGTGCGAGAGAGAGCTACTGGAAACACATACTTCATGATTACAGATGTACTGTAGCAAACGAACCCTCGCGCACCAGAACAACCCTCTCTTGTGGCTTGTTTCTACAACCACAAGAATCGAAGAGACACAGCCTCGCGCTGGTTGGTCAGTGCTCGCTCTCGGGGCCCAAATTTCCGCTGAGAGAAGAAGAAAAAAACCATATGTGCGGGAGGCCTGCGGCTTGACATCAACGCGGTGTGTCCCCCAACCACCCTCCCCAACCCGAAAAAACGAAAAAACGAACGCGTGCTGTTCGGGCCTCAAGCACAGCAAGCAGCCAGCAGCGGCAACGGGACTCTTCCTAACAGCAGCAGTACTGTCTGTAGTCCATCCCCACAAGCAAAAACCCAAAGAAGATGCCCCCCCCCAGCGACATTCACATTGAACATGGCGCATTCACGCGCCCTTGCATATCCGAATTTGCCTGTGATTTAATTGAACCACGCAAGAACGCCGTAAATCCCTTCAACCCCCCCCCCCCCCCCCCGTTACCAATTCCCCCTCGAGCGACGAGGTCCCCATATTGAAACCCAGCATACTATATACCATCTACCGTAGGTGACGGATGATACCACACACGGAAGATAGCACCCGACCACCACCACCAACTCTACAGAGTACGGCACCGGGTGGGTCGTTTTCTTTACGGCTCAATACGCCCCAACACAATCTTAAAAACTTCTCTCAGATCAAGTACAGAGGGAGGCACGAGATGAAACGACCAACACCCGGGCGTGTTGGTAGATTGATTATTCGCAAGCAAGAGAGGTATCTTACGTGTGGTGTGGGGTGGCATTCGCATGGCGCACCTGCAGCACCCGCCGCGGGCATAAAAAACTGACAAAAATTTTACACTGAAACGTGAAGAAAAAGGAAAAACAGCCAACCGATCCCTGTACCTCACTCCACTCCACCACTCTACGTCAGCCCCCATCCCCTTTCCGCCTATTTTACTCCCTGTCCCAAACCTTGTGTCCTCTGAACATATGATATGCCAACGGTGAACTCTCTCGAAAAGGCCGCAGATAGATACCTCTCCCAGAGAGAGCGCGCGTGGTGGCCGGACGTCGCTCAAACACAGCGATCAAGCTGCCACCTTCGAAGCACACACACACACACACACACATTTGTATCAGGATCTCGTTGCCCTCTCATGCAACACCTTGACACCCCGCCCCCTCCCCCCCGTTTGTGTCAGGATCGTCTTGACCTAACGACAAGGAAACACTCCTGCCTCGCACCCCTATCTTACTCCACCTGACCAATTGCCAAGTCTAACTAATGACCCGTTGTGCCGTCGACGAGGACGCGCCATCAATACAACATACCGTACCATATTACACCGTACCGTCAAGCCGTTCGGCAACCGACTCTTCAAATCCAAGCGCTCTTCCACCCGCGTCACCCCCTGCCTGTCTTCCGACACTTAGGATAGCAAACACACCTACGGAAATATACCAGCGACAAGAAGAGCAGCAGAAGCAACAACATCCTCATCATGTGCGCTTGCGACAAATCAAGAAACGGCGAGCGTCCGGTCCCCCCCCCCCTCCCGTCGCCCAGCCAGAACCGCACCATTCCCCTTTTCTCTTCTTACATCTTGGCGTGCCCTTGATATGGATAAAACCTTCTGCTTGCCACCACCTGTGTGGTAAGCACGAACCTATAAGGAGAAGGCGAGGGCCCAATCGCACCTACGATCGAAAGCTTTCGTTGTCGCTGGCGTGTGTCGCGGTTGTCGCAGGCACTCGGTGTTGTTGTTGGTCTCAACGAGGAATCCCACGCTACGCCCCGCGGGAGGAGTGGCAAGCGACGCCACTTTCAACAACCTTGACGGCACAACACCAGCACCATACCACAAAACACACCACGGAAACAGGCCTCCGCTACATACCATGGGACGACGATACTTCGGAAGGTACCAACACACAGCGCCCGTCTCCTCCCGCCGCCGACCCGACCCGAACCGAAGCCCCCCTCTCTCCCGCTTCAATCTCCTGGACCCTGGTGCGCCAACATGTAGACTCGGCGTCCGTGCACTAACGGTGTGGTACGGAATGGTGTGGTATGGAATACCAGCGAAGGTCACACATACCGTCGAGGCAATAAAGCAACCAACGAAACAAAGGGCGCACGAAATCCCAGCCGGGCATGCCTGCCGCAACCCACCCATGCCTACCTCCGTCCCTCCAAACCAGCAACCATGTATGCCTTACACGCGATCGACCATCGAAAAGGCTTGTTTCACCGCCGCCAACTGATTGCACCACCACGATGGACTCAATGAATGCCCACGCCCCGACAGTGCTTCCGGTTCGCACATGTTTCTTGTATCTTCAAACAAGGGCACGCAATCCGACCGAAAACAACACAAGTAGAAAAACAACTAAAAAAAAAAACGGTCACAGGTCAACTTTTGCCTGCCCGCCGCCTTTGACAAGACATAGAGAGACCCCGAGACAATTAGCATCATGGCAAGGCATGGCCCTATGCCAAAACCACACCAGCATATACGTGTAGTCAAGATCACGATTGATTCCCGCACAACACAAGTCGGCACCGTGTCAAGGAGCCGATCCCAATGGTATCCGTCGACTGACATTTTACCAGAGTCGGTGCGGTATACCTTCGCAACCGTCTGTCGGGGGGAAGACATGACAGGGCACACACCACACACCAATGGCACACCAGATTTGTACTGTATTTCAGTGTTGGGAACAGTACTGCAGCACAAGTCAGAACTTTCGGGGGGAAGGCGAGATGCACACCACGGTACACCAGATATGTACCGTACCGCAGGCGGCAACGGGATTGACCGGACAGACCGACCGACCGGCACGGGCGGGCACGAAAAGAAAACAGCAGTCGGTCGTGCGCGGGTTTGACGGATTGATCCTCTGCCGGAGCACCTCCCCAAACAAGAGAACAAAAAATGTAGTCTTACGCACGTACACGCCGCGTGCCGCCCCCCGCGCGGTGTGTGTGGTAGGCTCACGAGAAATTCTGCAGCCCGAACGACTTGCCGAGCTTCTTCGCCGCGATTACCTGGACAGCAACGCGACAAGTTACAAGGTAAGTACACACGACGACCAGCCAAAAAGTGAGTTGCGTTCCTCGCCACAATAGGGGGCGAGGGGTGCCGCAGTCGGGGTTCAGGGTGGGGGTACGTACCTCACATCTCTGCATTTTACCTCCCGAGAGGATCAGATGGAGCTGGGATGGGATACGTGCATCAGGTCTTGCCTTCGAGAACTGGGATGTGTCTGTTCCCCCCCCCTCTGTCCCTCCCCCCGCCCCGGTGTTTGCCATTGGGGTTGGGTTTTCGTCGCTTGGCAACGACGTTGTAAAACAAGCCGCCCCCCCCGGTGTTTGCCATTGG